ATTTTTAAAACTGCTTAATAAGGTTATTCTGAGAACTTATCTCAATCACAACCTTTTTGTTCTCATATGTGTCATCACAAAACTCATAAGCACGGATCTGAGAGTGATCCACACATGGTAAATTTATAGGCCATAAGGAAAAATCAAATAACACCTTGCTGATTATTTCTCTTTCTGGAGATAAACTGCCATTTACTACTGTCATGCATTAGCTACTTTAATTCTGATTTTTTTAAAAAAAATTATTGTGTTTAGGGGCTGGGGATTTAGCTCAGCGGCATAAGCGCCTGCCTTGAAGCACGCAGTCGTGCGTTCGATCCCTGGTGCCGATAAAAACGAAAAAGACAAAATAAATTATTGTGTTTAATAAAACAAAGGTACAGAGATTTCTAATGAAGGATTTCATTACAAAGCAACTTTAATTTATTGATCTTAACTAATGAAGGAATTTTGCCTATTTCTAAGTCAACGTTATAAAGCAATTTCTTTCTTTTGTTGCTGATTATCGGTACAGATGGCCTCATACATGCTAAGCACACACACCTGACCTAACTCCACCTCAACTTCACTAAGTAACAATTTTAAGCAGTGATAATTGCACCCTAAATCCCACTAGACTATAAGTTGCATCGTTTGTCAGTAAGGTTCCTTTCACAGAACTTTCAGATCACCAAATTTATACAAACCACAATCTTCCTTTTAAATTTTCTTTACTGAATAAAAGTTCATCAAACCGTATTGATTCCCTTATTATTATTTTACCAGTCACACAATGTCCATGAACGGGGCCAAAGAAATAGCTCAGTAGCAAGACACCTGCCTGGCAAAAGTAAGGTCCTGAGTTCAAGTCCCAAATTAAAAAAAAAAAAAAAAATGACCAAAAAAGCCCATGAAGAAAGTTGAAGAGATTTGTGTACTTCTAAATTCATCAGTAGTAACTGATCTCCCTATGTAATATCAAAATACAGAGCCTTAAAGAATTTTTCCGAGGTTTCTTAATAGGGTAATTCTACTCACAGATTGCAATGCTAGTCCCACTGACAAAAAGTCTCTTGATAAATAAATCAGTTTATGCCTGATAAGGTACAAGAAACATAGGCTTCTGTAATGAATGGAATATTTCACAACCTGTACTTTAAAAGTAATTTGTAAATCCAGTAGATAGTATAGTCGTTTTTTTTTTCTGTCTGACAAAAACCAAAGCCCTGAAAGACACAATCTTGATTTGACTTGATATCTAAAAATACCATTTTTAGTGAAAGACATGCCAGATGTTCAGTATACATATCATCATAGTTTGGAACAGCATCATGATTCCCCGCAAAACTACTATTAGGTAGCTATTTATCCAACTTTATAGCTAATAATCTTAAGAGGTATCTTTTCGAGAAGCCAAAATAAATTAATGTGTCTTTATTCCTTTTTAGCTCTAGATTTCATGAACTTGTGATATAGTACTGGCGGTGTTTTAAGTTTTAATCTTAGATTATCTAATGCATCTTCACAAAATAATATCTCAACTTTATGCTATTTATATGTATTTTACATTGCACCATTGTGACATTCCTCAAAGTAAAAAACAAAAAGCGTAAAACACTTGTAGTTAAAATAACATGAGGTCTTCTAAGAAAAATAAATCTGTTATCTTCATATGAATACAATCTCAAGCCATGAGCAGCTTGTGTTTATAGAGAAAAAGTCAATTCACAAATCATGACTCCATTTACTTTTGTTAAAATACAGTGAATGAAGTGGAAATTAAAAATAAAGTCAACTTTCTCAGTTAAAAAGGCCTCATTAACAAATCTTTACTGAAAAATTAATGCAAACTGGGAAATTTCAAAACTGTATGTCTTACTAGGCAAATTATTAAATTTAAATGAATGACAGCATTTCATTCAAATGAAATTCAAGTGAAAGATGAGAATACTAGACCAAAAAGTACTTAATATCTTCACTAGGAAACCTAAGAATAAGAAAAGTCACACTCTTGAATTTATATGCATGTCTAATAATATATTATACACAACTGCAAATACTTTCACATTTCAGTCTCCTGACACAAAAGGGTCAGTTGACACCCTGAGGTTGCCTGTACCTCCAGGTATCTTCCATTTTTATCTTCATCCCCATCTACCCTTCTTAACCTAGATGTATTTATTGTCAGTTAATGTAAGTTAAAAGCTACTCTAAAGTTGAAAACTATGGCTTTATTATGAAGAAAAAATTAAGACAAATGACCCAAAAACTATTCTATGCAAAGTTAAAATTTTTAAGAACAAAATTTACCCATAAGTAAACCAGAGTGGAAAATTTTCCTAATAGACACCATTTAACTTGTTTATTTAATGACAAATGTGTAAACATTTTTTCAATGATGTAGGGAGTGGTAATCCTTAAGAGAGATATAAAATAAGCAACGTGAATACATTCATTTAGCTACAGAACTTTTCTTCTCAATTGGTACCACATTCTGGTATTGTTGGTCCAGTGAAACTTACAGAATTCCAGTTCTGAGATTGTTAAAGGAAAAGAAAAAGACATAATACGACATGTGTGGTAAGAAGTTCTTGATAACAATGTTGCTTTCCAACGGAGGGACGATGCAGATGGCTTCTGATACCAGCAACATACTGATGCTTCCAAGGTACCTGGATTTAAGACCTGCTCCTCAGAGGGGGAGCATACATTGAATATAAATCATGCAGGACAGAGAAGCAGTGTGAGGACAAGGTTGAAGGAAGTAAGGACCCCGAGGGCAACTGTGAAGTGTCCAGCTGGACTGTGAGGCTTCCTTTATATTTTGTGCCCCAGGATATGACTACTCCCACTATAGCTCAGACTTTCGCAACTAAGAACCCTATTATTTTATAATTGATTTCAGTAGTTTAGAAATTAAATTAATTGCACGTCCATTAAATGTCTTTGTTTGGAAAAAAAGTTTCAGAAATAGAAAATTATAAAATACAAAATTAATGTATACATTAATTGAGGTTCTCTCAACCACACAATTTTGCCACAAGATATATACTCAAGAGAACCGCTCATACAATAGCTTGTACGTGACTGTAAATGGCATTTTTGTTTAAACAGTAGAAACAAACCAAATGTCCAACGACTGAATGAATAAGAAAAAAAAAAAAACTATCTACACAATAAAGTTCACACTCCTCAAAAAGGAACATACTTCTCATCCATTCTGTAGTCTCAATGAAACCTGAAAACATCATGCTAAGTGAAAGGAGACACAAAAGCCAATATATGACATGACTTTTTTATAATAAAATGGCTAGAATAGAAAAATTTCCAGAGAAAGAAACCAAATCAATGGTTGTCAGGGCAGGAGGACAGTGGTGGCAAAGATAAGAAATGAACTCTTATACATAAAGGAGTTCTTATTTAATTGATGGAATGGTCTGAAATTAGATAAAACCCTTTTGTCAGTAAGCATCATCATGTTGAACGTTCTAGATTTCTTGATCTCTTTAATTTTTCTGAACTGCTGTTAACCAGTGAGACATGAACTCCTCTGTGGAGTCTAATGTCACCTTGACCCTTACTCTTTCACTCACTTTATCTTTTCAAGATTGAGTCCTCACAGGAAAACTTCTACTCCTTTACAAGTCCCTGGGAGAGCAGAAGAGGAAGTAATACGATTTTGGTCTTGCCCCACAGTGAATACTGTGTGGGCCTCTTCCCTTTGCAACTGAGATATTTATTCTCCTCATCCTTGAGAGCCGAGAACTTTCTAAAGAGTATTTTCTCTTTGGGACTAGCGAGTACCATGTTGCCATTCTTAGAAAAGTGGCGTGAACCAGCAGACTCAGTTGCAAGCTGAAATGGATAAAGAACGGTGATGCTCAACACTGGAAATCTCAGTTGAATAGAGTTGACCAAGGAAAGAATGTTCCACTCCTGTCAGGGCAACCCAACATGATGCTGAGCATTTACTACTCTGGAGAAGCCCCTGTTGTGAAAATAGCACTAGGAGTAAAGATCTTCCACATTGTGAAAAAATTAAAAGAAAAGTTTCTTAACTTTGTGGAAAGAATGTTCTAGAATGTCACAAAATGTTACAGGGAAAGAAAGTGAGGTTGGAGGTGTAGATGGGTAACAAGGGGATGAAGATGCCAAGGATGTAATCTCTGACTTGATTTGTTATTACTGCTGCTTTTTTTTTTTTTCAGAGTGACGCCTATGATTTCATGAACTCAGAACCATTAATACCATCAACATTATTCATCTGGTCAAAAAAAAAAAAGGTCAAATATTTCATACCATGACCTTCACAACCAGTGAATTCTAGAGTAAAGGAATTCTTTGTGTAGAAATATTTCCCTTACCAGATTTCTCTAAATCTATTGTATTTGAATTTTATCTTTTTAAGTCTTAAGTTATTTAAATCAGAGGTGAGGAAGATGATAGGATGGGGAAAAAGAAGGCAAAGGAAACATAAAGAAAAATAGAAAAGCTATTTCTCTAAACTTAGCTTTATAATTCTACTTTAATAAAGCAAAGACTGGACACAACATTAAGGTCTTCATTCCAGAAGAAAGTCTGCTTAGTAAGTCATAAATAAGGCCTAACAACAAGGAAAAATTATTAAAGCATACAACTTCTGAACTCTGCTGGGCACTGCACATGGTATAGTGCATAGACATGCAAGATTTAGAGAATATATTCAAATCTTTGAATATATTCAAATCTTTGAAATCGTAAGGTGCAGATTCCAGTTCAAAAGAACAAATTTAAGAGCCTAAAAGATGGGAGAAAAGTTCTGAGATCTTTCTCGGGCTGTACTTCACGATCTAGTCATACCAGTTTCCTCAGGAATGCAAGAATGATTGTAAAATGGTCAGGTTCTATAAACACACTATTCAAGCTTAACATTACATATAAGACAAAAAATTCGAAAGAATTTCAAAAAATATTCCATCCTTTTTATATTTTTCTTAAATCTTCTTTTTCATGTAAAAGAAAAAAAAAATCTTTCGGCTCACCTGTATCAAATCCCACACTTGGTACTATGTCCACTGTTCCATGAAAGGCTCCAGCCCACGCTGAGGTAGCAGTGGTGACTGCAGATGGATCTGTCTTCACGATGTCACACTGGGGAGCAGAAATCCTGGCCGCGCGCATGGGTGGCATCAGCAGTGGCCCATAGGATGGATCCAAGGCAGAGCCAGCAGCAGGGTGGTGGTGGTGACGGTGATGGTGATGATGGTGGCGGTGGTGCATGTGGGTATGCGGGTGGTGGTGCCGCATGTATACATCATGCACGTGGCTGTAGGACGGGCTCACCTGAGATGCCAAAGGATAGTGCCAGGACTCAGACACGGGAGGGGGAGGTGGTGGGCCAGTCTGATGCAGCCCATGTCCTGACCAAGGGCTAGGGTCTGCTGCAGTAAATGTACCAGGGGGTGCAGTGACTTGGAAGTCAGGATGAACTCCCCCTAAACAAGGTGCAGGTGGGGGCTGGTAAGAGCTGGTCCAAAAGGAAGTTGGAAAATTACTCCGCTGGCTTGAGAGAGCTGAGCTGTCTGAGAAGACAGAAAACACATTATTTTTATAAGATTCAGTTCTGGGATAGACCTGCCTTCACTTGTCTAATCATGTTTTACAAACAAGCAAATTAATATGCACTCTTTCCCCACTCAGGGGTGGAATGATAGTAGGTTAGCCTCTGGGCTATCATAAGACCTCAGCAAGGACTCAGAGTGCTGAATTAGTGCCCCCAACGCTTGTCATTTGCTTGTTTAGCTTTTGTTAGTCTGCGTAGAGTTTGCAGTTTGGACAATGGCAATTCAGTTTTCTTTTGGGACTCTTGCTGGGTAAGTATCAACAGAGGTCGCAGTTACAAACACTTCTCTGGTAAAGAAAATTTTTGGCATAGATGAAGCAGGTGTAGATTAGAAATTATCAGTTTATCAGTCTTCTAATATGAGTACAATTTTCATTCAAACCGCAAACTTCAATGCCAAGGTAGCAAATGGAAGTAAGATCAAATTTAATTATGCCCACCAACTTTTTCCCCATAGAGATCTGGGAGTCTCCAGACTGATAATAATATTTATACACTAATGAAAGTAACTAAATGAATTTAGTTCCACCTTAAATGACAGCTTCTCATGAATGATTTATAAGGTCTTCACTTCAGCCTTGTGAAGTACAGTGGTACCTCAGTTCACAAACTTGATTCTTTCCATGATTCCAGTTGCAAACTGAGTTGAAGGAGAACTGAATTAAATTTGTATCATCCTACAAAACAGCTAGACTATAACTGAAACCCAAAAATCTGTAATTAATTAAAGAGTCTGTCAAGATCTTAACTGGCAGAGACTTCAGTAGAGATAATGAAGTTGAGGAAGTTATTGTATAACAGGGAAATATAAAAGAATTGTGGGGGGCTGGGGATTTAGCTCATCAGCATAACCGCCTGCTTTGCAAGCAGGCAGTCGTGAGTTTGATCCCTGGTATCAATAAAAAGGAAAAAAAAAAAAAAGAGAGAGAGAGAGAAGAATTGTGTAATTGTATATGGAAGAGGGAACCCTAATTCTGCATCAATTAAATGCGTTTACTCAAAACAACATATTTATGGATGACCTACCATGTGCCAAAAAGAGGGGTTAAGGATTAGTGATCAGTATCCAAAGAGAAGCATACAAGTAAAAATAAAATGCTTTAAAACAGTTAGTGTTCTCAGAACAGAAAACACAGAGAAAGCACACTGAATCAACCTAAGAAAGTGATAACTCCATCAAAGCTAAAATGTTCAGAAGAAGCTACTTTTGTGAAGACATAAAACAGAATTTTAGAAAAAAACAAACAGTGTGAAAAAGATTATATATGACACATGCATGCATGGACACAGCATCAGTAGCAGCAGCAGCATTTGAATAAAATGTGTTCAGTAGGTAGCAGCTGGCAAAAAGGAACAAAATTACAAGACTATAGAAATTTGAAGGACCCAGAAGAGTGTGGCTGCATAGCATACCAAATGAAGGGTTTAATTCTGAGAGAAATGACAATGGGTTTGAAATGCTTATTTTAGGAAGTTACCTATTCAGATCAGTATTTGGAAAGATCATTTGCTTAGAGCCGATTGCTGAAATACTGTATAACTCAACAAGCCCTTCACTAGCTCCTCAGATGTCTCACGCCACCTCAATTTATGACTCCATGTGGGTATATCTGTTGATCTATCTCTAGCTTACGTTATTCTACAAAAATAAAGCATTTTTGAATTTTTTTACTTAAAATTATCTCTAGTGCAATAGTTCTATCATTCTGCACAATGTACTATGGATTATATATATATATATATATATATATATACATATATAAAATATAGTTGCTAAAATATTAATTAGTAATGTATAATAAGCCTACTTTTCATACTGGATTCAATATAAAAAAGAACTTTGCGGGGCTGGGGATTTAGCTCAGCGGAATAAGCACCTGCCTTGCAAGCAGGCAGTCGTGAGTTCGGTCCCCGGTACCGATAAAAATGAAAAAGACAAAAAAAAAAAAAAAGAACTTTGCTAGAGTTTCCCTTTGAATGAAGAATATACATATTTAAAAATACTCAATACATAGGATTCATGGCTAAGACAGCTTTGGTTTCACTTCATAAATTTCCAGGCAACACAGTTTTTTGTTGTTGTTGTTGCTTGTCTCAGGACAAGGTTAAATAACTTGAATCAACCACTACATATATCATGAGGTTAACATAATTAGTCTATCACTGGGTGTTCACATATTTCTTTGTTTTTATCACTAAACCCTGCCAATGACAGCACAAGCCCTTCCGTTCTCTCTTCTCTGGGCCCCAGCAAAGCATCAGTCTCCCCATCCACACTGAGAACATGCAGTTGGCCACGGCCTCACAGCCAAGCATCTCCCTAACAGAAATACCATGGCTCTCAAACCCTTCAGGGAACCTGGAAAATTATGTTCTTCAAGGGATGAAGATGAAAATGCTCACTCCTGAAATCCTCTCATATTCTAACGGGCCTTGTAGTTTAATGATTTTACTTTTATTGTAATTAATCAGAAGATAGCACTTAATATCAAACTTATTAGCATGGTGGCAAACAGGTCTTAGTAAATGATTACCCCTCATTGGCACATGAAAAATGGTAGCAATAAACAAAGGAAAACTGTTTATCTTATTGAAGGAAATTCAATTCGCTGAAATGACAGCATCTGTAGAGTACTTTTGTCATGCACATAAAGCCACCAATGTTTAAAGCTTAAAAAGAAGAGTTTATAGAGGACCTTAAAATTACATAGTGTGGCTTGGCCACCACTATTCTGTCCCGTCACTATTATGACTCCCATTTGGGGCAGAAAATCCTTCATTCTGTTCGCAACTTCCATCTCTGAGTACAGCCAGAATCTTGTTGTGAAAATTATTGAACACCCACCCACAGATATATGTTAGAAACACAGTACCTCTTATTAAAATTCTCAATCAAAATGTAAAGTACAGAGTATATAACATTTCTCTGGATGCTTCATTTGGTTTCTTATTTATATGCTTAGGCATCTATAAAATGAATCAGCATCCAAACATGAATAATGAACAAAAAGTATTATCATTTTAGGAAGTACTGAATTGTGATCAGTGAACCCATTAGCATTGAAAGTAGAAATATATTTTTTAAAATGCACTCCCTAAAGATTAGACAAAGGTTTAAAATCTTACAGGGAAAAATAAAATTTAAAAAACTTAGTATTTTCTTAGTCTGTATATGTCTTCTGAGATTAATGTAAAGTTTGCAAGATTTGTGCAGTCCTTTTGAAAAACACCACTGGATTTTACAAATAAAACAATACTGAATGGAAAATATGCCTGTAAAGAAATCTATTTTTACAGAATCACTATTTGGTATCCAGCTCTTTTAAAGAAAAAAAAATCTTGACACAAATAGATGATATTCTTTGTTTCATGCTGTACAGTCAGTGTGCTTTTACACGCAAATACACTCTTTTCATTGGATCACACTGCTTATGAGCAATCACAGCCATATTTGTTGGATAAAACCGCATATAAAAACTGTAGGACCTATTTTTATGCTAGATTTCTTTTCAGTTTAGTGGAGACAATTCTGAACTGCAACACAGAAACACTTTACAGTGACTTTGGATTCAATATTATTCAACAGTTGGGCAGTATTAACCCAAATTTGGATGATATTCACACAGAAGTCTAACACCTACTATAATTTGGTTCCATTTCCAAGTGTATTAAATAATATCACACAAACACATGCAAACACACACATACTTTATTTTAAACAAAAAAATACTAAAATCAATGTATTTTCCAATACAATCTACACTGAGTGTACTAAGTAACCTCACTGTCTTATGTAAATCAGCAATGTTTCTTAGATAAATGTAGTTTAACATAGAATATCGATTTTTTTTCAATTCCATATGAGTTGAGACACTTTTCTATTATACCTAAATGTTTCCTTTAAAAAAAGGAAAGGTGAAAATTTTAAGAAAAATTCAAGTTTAATTAAAGAGTCAGAAAGAAAAGAAAACTTTCATAGCTATTTTTAAGAAAAAAGAAAATGGGAAAAAAACAGGACAATGTAGATTATCTTATGTTGTCTTAATCCCCAGGAAACACATTCTTATAATAAATACTGAAGAAAAATACTAACTTTAAAAGGTAAAGTTTTATTACCCTTAGCTAAACAAAGAAAAACTATTGAATTCATATCCAAAGGGTTTGTACAGTAGAAATCTTGTGCTGCTCCATTTCAAAACCAACTACTGATTCAGAGGTAAAATGTTATGTTTTCCAACATTTTTTTTTTTTTAGGGATTACATATTACTTTTATGTTCAAATATTGCCCTCTCATTCTATTGATTGTAGAGTTCCTCAAATGGGACTCATGACTCTACAATGGGAATTTTAAAGAATAAAAGAATAGCAGATGCTCCTACTCCTTGAAGGCATCAGGATGAGATAAATCAGGTATCCCCCACACAGGTTTGTCCTAAACTTTTTGTAAACAAAAATCTCTGGGCATCCTGGATACTACACTCAGCTCCTTAATCCCAATCAGCCAGCCCAGGAGTCAGACTTCCCTCTTTTTTTCTCCTTTTGGCTGTTTAAATTCAATTTTCATTTTGAGAGGTCTTTCTTATGAGAACCTATGAGACTGAGCTGTGCTAAGAGACCTTCTGTAGAGAAAACAACCAATAGACATCTGCTGTAGAAATACAAAGAAAAACAGCAGGAACAGGAAGATCAGCACAGTGTTTGAGTCTGTGATCTTCTTTAGGTGGTCCGATGTCATCACTGCTCTTTTGAGTGGCCTAAGTACTACAGTTTTCTGCATAGATGCGCATGCGCGCGCGCGCGCGCGCGCGCGCGCGCGTGTGTGTGTGTGTGTGTGTGCGCGCGCACGCGCACACACACACACACACACACACACACACACACAATTTACCTTCTTGAAAAATCAGTGCATAGACATACTTGAAGATGACATCCTATTTGAATGGGCATAAAGTGATAAT